CCTGGCAGGGGTCTGTCTCCACGTGGCTCCTTCAGTGTCAGTGCTGTAGTGTAGCTCCATGTGTCTTGTCAACAGGAACTCTTGTCAACAGGAACGTCTCTGTGTCCTGCGCCAAGTGAGCTATTTATCTCCGTGGTGCTTCCAAATGAGGTCATCAAGCTGCGACCTAGATTGACAGGCTAGACTCCATCCCTTTACTCTTTCTTACTAGTCTCAAGTGGACAACAGATGAAGTAACTGCCACACTGCCCTTTGGGCTAGCATCGCCAGTGTGTGTGGAGAAGCACCAAGGGTGTTGCTGAGGACGGAGTTAGCTGCGAAGGGAGAAGAGCAGAAACAGGAGGAAAACAACCCTTATTGCTTCTCCCAACAGTTCCGAAAACAAGATCCGAATAAGTCAGAGAACACCACTTATTCAGATGAGAAGAACCAAATTAGTATATAACTTCATAGTACATTGAATTATAATTCCAATTGTGTGTGTGTGTGTGTGTGTGTGTGTGTGCTTAATCGGGTACAGTTTACATGGAAGATGTGGCCAAGTAATATATGAAAAAGAAGAGTGAGGAAGATTTACATGACCAAATGTCAGAAAATTCCAAAATAATAACAGGATTAACAGTATAGTTAAGACAAGTTTGTCCCATAGGAATAAAAGGCACCAGCATGGAAGAATATGTTTCCCTGCGATGTTTCGGACAGCATTGTTCACAGTGACAAAAATCTAGACTCACAGTAGATCTCACTGGTAGGGAGATAACTGGATAAGTGATGACTACCGGGCGTCTCTTTGCAAAGAGGAAGTAGAGCTACCGAAGCTGAAAAGTGGTTTTCATGAAGTATATGCTTAATGAGGATATCATTTTGATTTTAAAAAATTTACAAAAATCTCCCTACGTGTGTAGACAAGATCACACATATATACTCATTAACTTAAGTGCGCATGGAACAAGCTGTAAGGGAGCCTTCTACTCCCATCAAGGATTACTGACGAGGGTGGTTCTACCCTGTCCTGTGGGGTCACTATGACTTGGAATCAACTTAATGGCAGTGAGTGAGTGAGCGAGCGAGCTAACGAGCGAGCGAGTGAGGGTTACTGTGGGTTACCTGGGAGATGGTATTGAACCCTTGGGGGTGTAGTGGGCTACGCATTGGGCAGCTGACCTCAAGAGCCGCAGTTCAAACCCACCAGTCACTCAACGGGAGAAAATTAAAGGTCAGGCTTTCTCCACAAAAAATTTACAGCTTTGGAAACCCGAGGAAACTGTTTATAGCCTCCTCTGTCTTCTCAGGTCACTATGAGTCAGAATTTACTTGATGGCGGTTGGTTTGGTTTGGGAGATGATACTGGGAGGAGGGGAAGGCGGGGAGAAGGGAAGGAGACACACTAAAAAAAAAAAAGAGGGGAAAATAACATGCTATGTAAACGAAATGAAATTTTAAATTAAGGG